TTGTTCTATAATATAAACATGGGACAGACGTGTAATCCGTTACAGAGTTTGTTGGGGTTTAATTCAAATAAGTATACATATATTTGAAACATTTTATTACAAATACGATAGAAATGAGTTTGAATACTGTTTGGTATGTTCACTGTATTCGAAACATAACAAAAAATGAAATCCATGAAATGAAATTCCTAAGGTGTGGTATACAGACTGGAAGGGGAACCTCCACTAAATCCACCTCCACTGCTGATGCCACCACCACCACCTCCACTGACGATAAATTCTCCACTGCCGCCACCTCCAAATCCACCGCTGATTACGCTGCCTCCAAATCCACCACCACCACCACTGCCTCCTCCAAAACCTCCGCTTCCTCCAAATCCACCTCCACTACCTCCGAAACCACCGCCGACGCCTCCGCTGCCTCCGAAACCTCCACCAACACCTCCACTGCCTCCGAAACCACCTCCAACGCCACCTCCAACCACTTGACCGCCCCCTTGAGAAGCTGCACTCAAGGCAGTCTGAAGGTCCACACCGCTGGGAAGAACTGGGTTCTCGCCGTCAGCGTAGTTCACGAAGTAAACCTCAGGACTGGTTGCTGGCGGTGCTGGGACTTCGATCACATCCTGTTGCTCTGGCGTCTGTCTGTTGAGGACATAGACGACACTTCGCTGTTGTGGTGGAGGTATGACAATGGGGTCTGGTCCTGGACCTTCTTCGGGTGTTTGGATGAACACGATATTCGTGTCAATGGTTGGCTCAGGGATGTACGGTGGAGGACCATGGGGAACTGGTGGTGCGGGTGGTGCGTTGTACAAGAAGACTTTGCGGTTCTCACGTGGAGTGACACATCTACCGGCATGGAACACTTGTCCAGGACCGCATCCTCCTCCTCCAAAGCCAGAGCCTCCAAATCCTGAACCGGATCCTCCTCCAAATCCTGATCCTCCTCCAAATCCTGATCCTCCTCCAAATCCTGATCCTCCTCCAAACCCTGATCCTCCTCCTCCAAATCCGGAGCCTGATCCTCCTCCAAAGCTTGATACCCCACCTCCTATCCCAAAACTTGGTCCTGAGGGCCTGCCCAGGCTGTAACCCTGAGGGGCAGCCAAAGACGAGACCACAAGTGTTGTGATCAAAACCTGCAAAGGAAATATTATGGATTTATTCTATGGAAGTTAAGTGCATGTATAGAAATTTGCTATGATTGAACACAAGTTTTCCGTGCAAATGTTTTTTTTTCTTCTTCTTCTTCTCTAGGCTGGCTAGTGTTGGACTTCCGTCAGCAAACTTTAAAGTCTAACACAGAACAAATCTTCCTTACCAAGATTCTCATGGTGAAATGATGCTTCCTCATCCAAAGTGACGTCTTATATATACCCGATTTCCTTTCGCTTGAACATTCTCTTCTCCAGTTCATCGCCGTCAGAACTTGCTCTCCAGGCAACCTCTCCTTTCCCTGCCTGCCCGCTACACTTATTTTCCTGGAAAAGAGTTCAGCTGCTGTGTTTCCGCCTGAGAGAATGGTCATGTCTGGTTAAGGTGGGCTGATCAGGAATGTTACTGATGATATAAAAACGATCAGCTGACCATGTGGTGCATCTTACCCTAGAGGGAAAATGAGTATGTCTTTCCCTTCAAATTCGTATCCCATTACATGTAAGTCTTCATATTGGTATGGCGTGCTATGTTCCAATGTCATGCCTAAAAGAAAAAATCGAAAACATACAAAAACATGTAAATATATGCATTACTTAGTTTTATATATATATATATATATATATATATATTATATATATATAATATATATATATATATATATATATATATATATATATTATATATATATATGTGTGTGTGTGTGTGTGTGTGTGTGTGTGTGTGTGTGTGTGTGTGTGTGTGTGTGTGTGTGTGTGTGTGTGTGTGTGTGTGTGTATGTGTGTGTATGCATATATATAAGTTTGTGTGTACGGACATATTGTATTAATTAATCTAAATAATTACCATTAGCCTATAGAACAATGGGGACAAGAAAGTGACTTCGAACATTTCTACAGGAGTGGAGTGACACAAAAAATGTATACTCCAAGAACGTATTAAAGATAACTGTTATTGATACGAATGTATAAATTTCATGTTATCAGGAATAAACTTGAAAATGTCTAAAGTTGTGTTTATACTCAAATATATACACACATGTGCCACGTGCACACTAGTACATAGACATGTATACGCACATACATATATATGTGTGTATATGTGCCTTTGTGTTTTTCAATTCAAAAATAGTTTTTTACATGCATGGTCTGTGAATGATTACCAACTTTTTTTTTCGTGAAATAAGTCCTTGGATATACTTATCTGTCGTATTCTCGTGGAAGCTGGGATGCTCAGGCAACAGGCCAGCCACTCTGCTTCCAGCAGTGTTATAGTGCAATGGACAGTTGTAAAAGTTTTCCGGAATACATAGTTTACAATGCCATTTGATGACGATTGAGGT